TGCTTTTTAAGGAACTCGGCTGAGAAGTTCTGCATCGCACCGTACTCTCCTATGATGCTCCAGCGGCATCCTGTCTAGTCGATTTTTGACAAAAAAGCATCCACGAGTTGGTTGGGAGGAGCATGTCGTGACGATGCATGTTGAATAACTCCTTGTAAAATCGTTGTAAAATATTAATACTTATGATGAGAAGAGAACAGCCGGAGCTCACCATATAAGGCTGGAATTTCGGCTTAGCCTTGAGAAAAAAAACAATAGCTCCAACCTTACATTTGTATCATAAACTCAGAAATCGTCCATTTAATCCTTGCAAGTTTCTCTTTTCTGTACTGTCATGTGAATGAAAGCATTTGCTGCAGGTAGTATGTTCGGTGCTTTACAAGATGCTGTGCGATTACGGTCGATATCAAGAGAGACATGGATGGAAGAGCGCATTCTACCCGACTGGACAGACTATGTTCAGCATGGAATTCCCTGCGGAAAGCCAGAACTTGATCGGTGACAAGATAGTAACATTGAATGTATGTGAGATTGATTCATCATCCCGTAATTAATTTATTAATTTTAAATTGAATATATCCGCTTTAGTGCTATAGCTCCAGTGTAATAAATCTCTATTTTTCGTCAGTGACATCAGTATGGTGTACCATTTGAATCATGGTGCGAAATTGTCTAGAGGGCATCAAGGTGTTAGATCAAAGAAATCGTTTCCTGTGTTCGAATAAGATCACCAACTAGTGATTGATATCAGCTGGCGTATCGCTATCCTTAACAGTGCAACTTAGCGAATAAATACAGCCCCACTCACAGTGTCTTGTTCGCTGCATATCCTGGGGCGCTTCAGAAGAGTTGAGCTTGGCGCGGCGTCAGCCTGTTCTCCACCAAATGTGGAAGCTGACAGGCGACCTCAACTGGTGTAGAACAGACTGGTGCTGCGTCAAACCTAGCTCCATTGAAACCCCAGCGTCCAGAGCGAGCGAGACTGTAGCTGGATTCGTCCTTTCGTACCAAGATCGTTATCAAACAAAAGGTATTTTTCAGAGATGTCTAAGACTTCATTGTAATTAAAGCCGAATAAAGATCGCATGAGGCGAAGGCGGAGTAGTGGCAAGCGGCACGCTTAGTACGCACACGGTCCAGGGACTACTACCTAAAAAACCCGGACGCTCCCGCTCAGGCAAACCAAGCCTTCTACCTCTTGGGGACGGTAAAATGGTACCGATACGTCTGGAAGGATAAAACACTGACTTTTACATCAGCTGGCGCCAGCAATTCATTGTATAGGCCACATCGCATTCAGTGAGC